TTTTAAGGGCCAAAGGAGGAGATACAGACAGTAAATCTGCTGCATATTTTTTCTCCAATAATGGAGAACTTTTTTTTTTTTTCTATCAGAGATTAATGATCCAAAGCAGAAACAATGAGGCTGATGCTAACATAGAGAAATTGGAAAAGCTTGAGCAAGAGCGAGACCCCATCTCTACTAAAAAAAAAAAAAAAGAAGAAGAAATTAATTGGCTAACTAAAAATATATAGAAAAAATGAGCCAGGCATGGGGGTGCATGCCTGTAGTCCCAGCTACTTGGGAGGCTGAGGCAGGAGAATTGCTTGAGCCCAGGAGTTTGAGGGTGCTGTGAGCTAGGCTGATGCCACAGCACTCTAGCCCGGGCAACACAGTGAGACTGTCTCTAAAAAAAAAAAAAAAGTTATATATTTGTTTTAATGTGAATTAGGAAAAATACAAGAAAGACAAAAAAATATATTATTAAGTAAATTATGGTACAGATATTATTTAAGCATGGCAAATGTAATAAAGATGGCACACAGCAGAAATTTAAGAAAAATTGACTAAGTGGAAAAGAATAAGTAGAAGTCTATACACAGTTCCTCGTGCAGCAGCAAAATGAGACCCTGCAACTAGGAGTCCTGGCTTTAATTCCTTGTTATGTACCAACTTGCTGGATTTCTCTGGGGAGTCTGTAATTTTCCACTGCTTGAAAATATAATAGTTATCCCTCTCTCTTATAGGGTTATCAAGAGCTTTAAAAGATTTATCGTATTGAGGAACTTAAAAAATCTCTAACTTCGAAGTACTTTACATAGAAAATGTTTTAAAACAGAAAGAATATGCACAATGATAGTTATTTATTCCCAGTTATACATACAAAGTGGTCTAAGCTGACGTAAATTAACAATTTCCACAGGTCTGTGCATTATAGATAAAACACATTCTATTGGATGCCATACCATACCTTCATTGATGTATTATATAACGAAATAAATGAAGTAAAAAGATCCAGGTAACGCGTAGTGAAGACCAGTGCAAACAGAAGCTGGCTTTTCCCGGAAATACCTAACCAAACAAAAGGAAAGTATTAGAAAAGCCCTGAAAAGTTTCATGATCCTGTAGATCAGCGGTCCCTAACCTTTTTGGCACCAGGGACAGGTTTTATGGAAGAAAATTTTTCCAAGGATTGGGGGGCAGGGGGAGAAGGAGGTGGAGCTTAGACGGTGATGTGAATCACACTGTGCAGGAAGTACAGCTAGGGGAAGTGGGGTTCTTGGGGTCAAAGGCCCAGGTCTGGGGATGACATAGAATAAAAATAAGAATGGTTTTAGGGTTTTTTCCCCTTAACATTCTTGAACATGCTATTTTGGGGAGGCTTTTCTGTCTTACTATGATGGGTGAATGGGTGACTATAGCAAAGTAACTTAGTTATGCCACCTCCAATATGTGAGGATATACACCATTAAAATGAACATTATATTTCTCAAATATATCACCATAGGTTGAAATAAATTTCTTTCAATAATTCTGCTGTTGTTTAGTGTTGTAACTTATCTGTTACCTCCGGATCTTTCTTCCATTTTAAAACAATATCTCCATAATGACAAATCTTTTGAGAAAGGAGTCTGATTAAGGGGATGAGGAATCATGTGAGGAACACTAACTCAGGTAAGAGTTTGAGCAGTAACTCCCACTGGAATAATGGCATGACCTCCCAAGGTGACTTCTTTGCTGAGGGCAGCATTTACTTGAATGTTAAAATTTTTTAAAATTCCATCTCTTAGGCCGAGGATGGTGGCTCACGCCTGTAATCCTAGCACTCTGGGAGGCCGAGGCGGGTGGATTACTCAAGGTCAGGAGTTCGAAACCAGCACAACCAACCTGTTAGCATAAAAATGTTCCTGGATGCTATGGCAATATGAAGGTAGGAGCCTGCAACTACAACCAATCTTTTTTAATGCCTTGAAGCTGTTTCCACTTCCAACCAATCAACCCACCTCCAGAGCACTATGGCATAGCCAGAACCAGCTGGAAAGACTAGCAGTTCATAGCATGGCTATGCACATGGCTTTTCTTTTCTTTTTTTTTTTTTGAGACAGAGTCTTGCTTTGTCGCCCAGGCTAGAGTGAGTGTCGTGGCATCTGCCTAGCTCACAGCAACCTCAAACTCCTGGGCTCAAGCAATCCTGCTGCCTCAGCCTCCCAAGTAGCTGGGACTACAGGCATGTGCCACCATGCCTGGCTTATTTTTTCTATATGTATTAGTTGGCCAATTAATTTCTTTCTATTTATAGTAGAGACAGGGTCTCGCTCTTGCTCAGGCTGGTTTCGAACTCCTGACCTCCAGCGATCCGCCCGCCTCGGGCTCCCAGAGAGCTAGGATTACAGGCGTGAGCCACCGTGCCCGGCCTCACATGGCTTTTCTGACATCTATATTTGGCCAAATATTTATGTGACAAAGGACAAGAACTATAGGTTTCAGATACTGGAAAACCAGTGAACTCATTAAGGAAACTAAAGGTTGACTAAATGTCAGAAACCACCCACTCTCATCTACAATGCAAACATCAGACCACTGCACATTTTAGTAAGCATGTATTTAACAGAAATGTCACTGCACTCAAATCCTTCACAACACTCCTCAGAATGTGAAAATCTCACTGTTTTTCAATATTTTGCAGTTGCTGAAACTAAAAGCCTGGATGTAAGAACGTTACTTTTTAAAAAATTTTTTTTAAGAAACAAGAGTCTATATTTGTCACCCAGGCTGGAGTAGTACAGTGGCGTCATCATAGCTCATTGCAGCCTGGAACCCCTAGGCTAGGGGCATCCTTTTACCTTAACCTCCCGAGTAGGTGGGACTAGCTGGAACTATAGGCATGTGCCACCATGCCCAGCTAATTTACTTTTTAGAGATAAGGTCTCACTACGTTGTCCAGACTGGTCTTGAACTCCTGG